CTAAAGTTGCTCGCAGCCGGGCCAAGAGACAACTGCCAGTGGCAGCCAGTGTAACAAAGTAATTATGAGAGTTTTCCCTAATAGGCTTAAAAACGGCAACGAGTGAAGAGGGTCATGGTCGAGAAACCCCTGGGCTGGTGGAAAACAAGACGACGGCGGAGTCGGAGCCGCGTCGAAGGTGAGACGGAAAAAACATTAAGACAGAAGGGTTAATTAGAAGGATAATTAGTGCGTAATCCGATATGTCAACATCGGAAAGGGGTAATGAAATTTGGCGACGAAGCGGAAACATATTACTGGGAACGGGGTGGTGGGAAGGAAAACCAGGCGAAAGCTAAACCCATTGCGAGACCCAAGTTCAAATGCCCAGAAAATTATGATGTTAAGTCTACTTGGCAGTTCCTTGACTCTCAGTCGGGTTTTGGAATCCAACGCCAGACCTCTGGTGGGGTAATGTCTGTCCTTTAAGGGTATCCCTATCCTTCGATGCCCTGAGCAAGTCACAAAAACTTTTAGTGTCGCTTTAAATTATGCGCCGCAACATTGGGGGGCCACAAAAAATTATGAATAACCATTCGCGGCAGGTGGAGGACGAACCAGAGCCAGAGCCCGCCGGGCCTGTAAACTGAACCCAGCCCAGGTGATCCCGGGGCGAACCCGAATCCTACCCCAAACCCGAATCCGAACCCGATCCCCTCGTGCTGCTTTATGGCATTGGGCGCCACCCAATTAAAAGGCACTCGCTGGCCATTAAACGGCGCATCCCTCCGATCCCGATCGTGTGTTTTGGGGCCTGTGTGCAACATTTCGCCGTATTTTTTGCAATTAGAGAATTATTAAAGTGTCGTTAAACGGCCGGGGAGCCTGGCATATGAATCATGCCCACTTTTATGATGACTGTCAGGGCCCGTGAGTATTTATGACCTCGCACAATGGCCATAACATCGAAGGGGGCTAATGGGGCGTCAGAGGGGGAGATGGAGATATTCCTGGAAACAACCGGCTGGTGTATCAGATGTACTAAGCAATGAGGCGGGGCAGTCAAGGAGCTGAGTAATCGCAGCAACTTATTAATATCATCTTTTAAGGCCTACCTGGTACAAACACGTATATTTTATTACAAATCCCTGTCAACTTATTTGAAATCATTTCCCCATTTGCGTTGCCTTCCTGCCAAAAGCCGTTTGGCTCACAAAAGTATTTGGCCAAATCGTGATTTACGTTCAAGCCAAGAGAAAGTTGCAAATATTGAAATATTATATCCATATTTATTGGAGCTGTCTGTCGGGAGAAAGCAATACGAGAAGACCAGCACAATACGAGCAAAGCCAGCGAGGAAATTGAATCAATGAATTTAGTGCGACCATCAGCAAAAATTACTTTTATGATAAAAAAGATACTAAAGTACGGACTGCGGACGACGGACTTGTCCGACTCCAGACCCAAACAAAAAATCCATCCATCCAACCACCCCCAAAGAAAGGACAGGATGGGATGGCAGGACAAAGGACTATGCCAGCTATCTCATATCATAATAAGCGCTCATCAATTTCCATTAAATTTAATATGTCACTTGGCCGGAGAACGAGACGGAGACTGAGAGTCCAGAAAGGAGCGTGGTGTCATCATCGTAAAAAGCGGATGGTCAGTGGCCATAAAAAAAGCTTTTTCATAATTTCCCTTCAGCCCAGGAAGTGCCAAGAAGCGGAAAATAAAATATGATATGAGCATGTAATAGATTTTTATCACTGTTCGAGTGGGAAAGTCGGTCCTGGCGGCGGGTCATTGAAACAAATGAGCGTGCTAAGTGAAAGTTTTGATTTATGCCGAAATAATATACGCCAGGGACTGGCCGGACGAGCATTAACCAAAAAAAAAAAAAGAAAATTGCACAGAAATTTGACCAAGACATGCAAACCTTTGAAATGCTTCTTTCATTGCGGTCCTGGGGGAGCGTAAAGCAAAGGACGAGGGCTATTGACAGGTCATCGAATGGCGAATGTGTTGCGGGATTGACAATCGGCTATTATTCTGCTGAAGGTGCAGGGCTTGGTAGTGAGTCATTGCCCAGATAGATGTTTCTTCCACCTCCTGGGTGGCAACCCACCTGGCGGATCGAAATTAATTTGCCGCACTCGAAAGCAGGAGTTGAGACTTTTTATCAAAGCTTCCAGCTGCGTTTGGCTTTTGTTTTCATTACAGATTTTACATTTTTCATACTTTGAGGAATATGCTGAGGCATATCCGGGGGGGAATCGACATGGGGATGGGACCCACAAGGTGCACAAATGTACGATTCACATCCCATCGGGAGCGGCGGCCAATAAAACTTTAACGAGCACTGCACACATAAAAAATGCAGCTCGTTTCCAAGGAATCTTAATCAAGGGATCGGGTCGGGCGGTGAGTGTGTTTTCCATAATTGATTAATTAATTAGTTTTGAGTCCATGGCGAAACGATGGCCATTTCTCAGCCCCTGTCCAAACAAAGTCGTTCGAATTGATTTTTTATGTCCACTGACAAGTCATTCAGAATTTGCACTTCAACTTTCAAAGGCAATTAGGAATTATTTTTAATATAACTGCTAGTTTTCTGTCTTTAAATCAAACTCCATTATTACTGACAGATCGCAAATGCCCGATTGCAATGCCGGCTATTACAAATTCCTATTCACTGGCTTAGAATAGTTGGCATATCTCCTGGTTAAGATAAAAGTCCGCCAACTTGATGTTGGAATTTAAATCTTGGTATCTGTTTTTGCTACTTAAGAGGCCAGCTTGGGATTTGGCCATCCGGAGCCTAGTGAGTGCCCAGGCCGAAATAATTGCCGGGCGAATGCATCTATCAATATACGAGTGCTGCAAATATGGATATGCAAATATCTCAGTCAGGGGGAATCGCACATAACTAACTGGATTTCTCTGGGCCTGTCAGTTCGAAAAGGAAATGCAACTTGGAGCTAGCTTGGAGCTTGGAGCTACCAGCTTGGAGCAGTTCTATAGGCGAGTGTGGGACAAAGATGAATCCGCGAGTGCAGAAATTGTGGCACTTGATATCCATAAATACGTCACAATGTGAAAGTCTCGCGGCGGCATGCAAACGAGTCTCTCCTCTGGCTTCTATTTATGCAAGCTCCAGGTTGCAAGTTGCAGTCGAGGAAGTGAGTGCCGCATGTTGCAAGTGTTTGCCAGCAGATGCCCCTGTCAGCGACTCTCTTATGAAATGGTTTTTGTCATTTATTTATCGCTTTTCCACTACCGAATGAAAACTGATTGAAATGTGTCCAGAAGCATGGCACTTCTCGAAGGAGTTTCTGCTTCTCGGAATGTTCCTTGAAAACGGTTTGCCTAATTTGGGCCCCAGGCTCCAAGCTCTAGGCCAGGCCACATCAATTTGGCCAATTATATTGACACTTTCGCTTGACCATTGCCAAACGGCAATCGGCATCAATCGAGGCGACTGCGATCGCCGCCGCATGCAACATTGCAACGTAGCAGCATAGCGACTTGCAACACCCAACACTCATAGGTAGAACAATGTCCGACAAGCTGTGAGCTGCCAGGAACCGACTGAGAAATTGGCATATCTCCGCCGGGCAATCAAATCTCGGCCTTAAATAGACGCAGTGCGACCCCCAACTGCAACCAGCCGGCCACACTCACATGCAGACGAAGCCGAAGCTCTAATTGCACGGTGACAAAATCGGGGACCTTCCAGCTACATAGTTAAGTAAAGCCAATAGTTTGAAAACAAGTCCAGACCTGGGAAGCGAAAATTTGTTCGAGTGTAGGCCAAGAACCGGGAACTGGGCGTTCATCAATTCCCTGCTCGGGCTGCTTGGCGCGATGATGTCGCGATGACCAGGCCCAAAAAGTGCCGCGCACCGGTGCAATCTCTGTGAGATCAGCCGCCAGCCGAGATGCAACAATGGATGTGGATGTGTGCCTGTGGCTGTAACAGCTAGCTGAGCGGATCGTGACACAAGTGCGAGGCTGTTAGCGGTGAGGAGGGGGCGAACGACCTGTCAAGGAACAGGAGGTGCCGGCAATTTTTCAACACCCTGCTGCCGCACGAGGCAATACCTACACAAAAATAATAAGTGACCCAAAAACCCAATAAATTTCAATACTTACAAATAAAAATGAAAAAAGATGAAATAAAAGATTAAACTAGATTTAAAAGTTAGAATTTAAAAGAAAAATCTTTAGGAATTTTTTTCTGTGCGTCCCATCTTGCTCACAATTCGGTTATAGAATTTCTAACTAGACCAATAGCTGTTGTTGCCAGAGCTGGTGCTTGTTGTTGTCACTGACATTTAGCCTGTAAGCAATTCGTTTGGCCAAGAGCCTCTTCATTTAGCCGCCAAATAGCCCACTCCGCACTTCCAGGCCAATTCCAGGCCCCAGATAATGATCGTGAGAGAATTCATGGCGCTGATTGTTCCGGCTGGAATTTTAATGCCAGGGCCAAGTGCAAATATGTGTTTGCCATTAATTATTATTATATTTATGGTTGGCTAATGGAAATGCCTAAAAACAAAGCCGCAAATTATCAAAAATTTAGCAAAGCATAAAAAGAAAGCCTGAATTTTTATCGTTTCAGATCGAGCATCGAAATTCTTCAGCTCTCAAAAATGGGAACTCCACTGAATATTCTTGACCTACCATTTGATGTCCTGGACAAAATATTCAAACATCTGGGCGGATGGATGCACTGCGATAAATGGCCCTTGGCCTTGGCCCACGACTATTTGGGAAAAGCCTTCGCTTACCATATTAGAGACGATTATAATAGTGTTTCACTCCACAATAACTCTACGTGGTTCCTAACTAGAGTTTTGCCATTGTGCCGTTCAAAGGTTCTCCATATCGATCTAGAAGAGTCTTTCGTCGACTTCCTTGACTTTCCATATCTGATGAATAATTACTTCCACAACTTGAAATCTATGAATATAGTTGTACATGATAAAAACATCAAATCATTAAAAGATTGGATCATGAATGAAAAAAAATTTCAGGCGCTTAGAGTCAGCATAAGTGCTTCATGCTATACATTCTCAAAGCTCGTCAATACTTTTGTAAAACTTGGAAACTTAAAGGGGTTAAAACTTTATGATCCGACAACGAGACTTCCGATCGGTGAGTTTTGAATTATCCAATCCGAATACGTCTTTAAAGTATATGTCTATCGTTTCAGGGGATCTTATAAAACCCTTTCCCTATTTGGAGGATTTGCAAATCGAATTTGGACTATTTCAAGGCAGAATTAACATATATGAGTTGCTCCTGCCACTCAAAAATCTGCGTTTTCTGAAGGTTGGCTTATTGGGAGAGATACCCCAAGTACCCACTTCCGAGATGCTCGTCGCACTGGAAACGTGTTATATACATAGTTCCATCATAACTTCAGAATTACCTGTCTTGCCCAAGCTGAAGACGATTGGGTTCTATAATAATTTTTGCCAACCGTCAAACATTTCATTAAATTGGATTTTGAATCATGCCACCACTCTGGAGAAGGTGAGCTTTTGGGTCGACGGATTAAACAAAAGCAACATCTTCGAAATAATTAAAAAATGCACATTGCTCCGTGAGTTCCGGCTGAAGAACGAAATAGAGTCCTTCATAACAAAGGAGTTTGTGGAACAAATAAATTCCATTTTAAAAGGCAATGGCTACACTAGCGAAAATCCCTTGGACCTTGTGCTTTGCGGCAAAAGCTACGAGCGTGTAAAGCAGATCGTAAGTTTCAATTAATTATTTTCAAAACATTTGTTTATGTTTTTTATTAATAGATTGGCGGCCAGCGTTATGATTGTATCTATTTCCTCTGCAGCTTGTGGTATTAGGATGAAATTGAAAAAAAATAAATCTTTTGAGTACTTTGTTTTATTTAAAAAAGTAAAGAACAATAATAAAGCATAGCAAAACTATTTAGAAATACCATGGGTTTGTTAGCATTTTTAATAGCATTAGCTCGATTCGGGCCCGATTAGTGCATTATAAGTGTGTATTCGTGCTGTGCGACACGATCTTGTCGGGGTCCTCTCGCCCTAAGTTGTTATGCATCGCGAAGCTACACTGCAAAAAAGAAGGATACTTTCAGATACAGTTCACATAGGCCCTGTTTCCAAGTTGCTCAGATGGTTTTCTCAGTGACGGTGTCTGGTGACGGCCAGCGATCTCTGGGCCAGAATTTATGAAGTTGTTGGCGCTTATTAAATTTTAAGTTGAACATGCAATGCTACACTTGCCACCTTGCCACTTAGCCATCCCGCCAACCCGCCTGGCCAACAACCACTTACCACTCTTGGCAGTTGGCGACAACCTGGCGTTACCTCGAGATGCACAGATAAGATTCGGAATCGGTGACTGCCACTTTGTGACTGGTTCCCAAACACACGCCCCGGTTCGGTGCCACTTCCATACGGCAATTAGCGCAGGCGCTTGAAATGTGTTGAAAGATATTTGATGAATGGCTACTTAGCGTGTTGGCTGATTAAAAAACCCATGCCATGGGGCTGAAGGCTATGTAAGGCGGCGATCGAGGCAACAGGGAGTCCCCGATAAGAGAGAATCATAACACCAAATTAATTTTAAGAAAAACGTGTAATCTTTAAACTTTTTTGTATTTTAATCATGGGTATTCTTATAAACGATTTGAAGATAGATTTCCTGTTAATAACATCTTATACTCTAACCTTATAGAGTTCCTTTTTAAACTTTCTTAATGTGGAGCCAAGATCCCCCTACAAAAATATCCAAAGTCAATGCTAGTCGACATCTGACCTCTAGCCCTGCCTAACTCTGCTCAGCTTTTCGCCGACTGAGTCTCATATGCTTTTCTAGACAACGAAAATGTGCCCAATTTATGTACATAGAATGTAAACAGGCCCGACAATAATTCACGCCCGCAACCGACTCTATTACCTCAGGGAAATAAGTATATGTACAAAAATATTATTGACTTAATTTTTACTTATTGTCATTGCGCATTTAATCTTGGTATGCAATTATGTCCAGTTGCAATCTATTTATAGAATGCTTCTACGAAATTTGTTTTCGGTCATCATTCTTAGTACCGTTATCACTTTATTCTGTGGCGCCAGAAGGTTTTCTTAGGAAATAAGTATATGTACAAAAATAAACTAGCGTGGTTTGAATGAAGAGTGGAAGTCTTTTGGTCAGCAAATTAGTCCGGAATTGATTTTTTTAAGAGAAGAGCTTATTTGTAAACCAACAAATGTAAGTTGATTGGTGTTTGTGTGAAAAATTTAAATATAATTACGGTTTTAACTTAGCATGCCACGAGGAGACCATTTGTCAGCCGAAGAACGCGGAATAATAACAGCAATGAATGAAAACGGATGTAAAATTTCCGAAATAGCTGCTAGAGTTTCTCGACACCGACATACCATTAGAAACTTTTTAAAAAACCCGAAAAAATATGGTACAATAAAACGCTCTGGCAGACCTAGTAGCATCGACCCTAGGTGCAAACGCGAAATTCAGCGCCTAGCTGTAAACAAACAAATGTCGTGCAACGAGATTAAACGTCATTTACATCTTAATGTCACTAGGAGACGGGTCCATCAACTTTTAGTTAAAAATAATAACATTAAATATAGTACCCGAGTGCCAGTACCTAAGCTGCTACCACGCCATCTAAGCGCACGATTATCCTTTGCGGAAAAATATAAATTTTGGACAAAGGAATTTCGCGAAGTAATTTTTTCGGACGAAAAAAAGTTTAATTTAGATGGTCCAGATGGGTGTCAGAAGTATTGGCGCGACATAAGGCAACCAAGGCAAACCCGGAATAAGCGAAACCATGGCGGAGGCTCCTTGATGGTTTGGGCTGCTTTCGGGTATGCGGGAAGGTCTCCAATTTGTTTTATTCCTACAAGAACAAATGCGGAGATATATACTCAATTGTTGGACGATGTCCTTATCGAGTTCGCTGGGAACCTTTACGGGGATAATTGGACTTTCCAGCAAGACAACGCACCAATCCACACTGCACGGACCACAAAGGAGTTTTTTTCGTCAAGAAAAATTCCACTTTTAGAATGGCCAGCCATAAGCCCCGACTTAAATCCAATTGAGGATCTCTGGGGCATCCTTTCGGCCAGAGTTTATAAAAATGGCCGACAATTTGACACCATCAAACAACTGAAAGACGCTCTGGTTGTTGAATGGGATCAAATTAATGATAATATTGTGAAAGGATTGGTGGATTCTATGCCGGATCGCCTTAACAAAGTTATAATAGCAAAAGGAAAGCATATAAACTATTAAAATAACTAAAAAGATAAAAAATACTTACATAGATATTGATATTATAGTAATTACTGAAAATGTATATATACTTATTTCCTATGAACTATTATTAATTAATTCAGTTCTTTAATAAGTTTAAGAAAATAAAAGGTTTGTTATTATTATTTTTATTTTTACATAGGAGTACTACATACCCCAATAAAAGTTGGATTGATTTGTTTTGTTTAAATCGTTTTTTTGTTAAAAATATCAATGTACATATACTTATTTCCCTGAGGTAGATGCCTTCTGCGACATTCAAATAAAGATGTCGCGGGCGAATGAATTATGAATTATATCACGCGGTCCAGACCAAATTTGGCGAGATCCCGGAAAGAACAGCCACGAGATGCAAAAGACTACACGAGTCGAGACAATGCCCCGGGCATGGCCAGGAGGAATAACAAATCCACTGCTGTTGGCCAAAAGAGACGATGACAATGGCTGCGGATGCAACAATAGACAGTGGAACAAGCGTGAGGGGGTGGTGGTATTGGTGGCGGTGGCGGTGGTGGTAGTGGTGCCACCAAGTGGACCAAGTGGCGACGATATGCCAACGGCAACTACCGCATTGTGTCGTTGTTTTGGATATCTTCATATGGCCATGGCGGTCGCTCCACCGAAAGCCCCCATCCAGTCCATTCAATTCGATTCCATCCCTTTTCCTTTTCCAACCGAGAGCTGAGCATTTAGTTGCATTTATTTGTTGCTATTAACTGGCGCGCTGACGCTTATCGCCCGTCTCCAGCTCCAGCTCCAGGTCCAGCTCCAAGTCCAGCCTCGGATTCGGCCTGGCTCCAAGTCCAAGTTCAATGCTAGACACGGAAAAAGGAAAAGCCCATGCGGCGAGAACAATTGCCAGAGCAAACGAGGCCGGCATGGGGCCAAGTAAGTCGCCCCCGCCATCCAGTTGTGAAGTAGATCTTGCCACAGTGGTTACGTCCTAATATATTTTTTAAGAATTATATATAATACAAGTTGAGGACTTTCTTATTTTAAATTTAAAAGTAAACTATCTTTCAACTAGAAACGATTTCTCTTAGAATGTGAAAAATCTTATCTAATTTCTATCAATATTTAAGAGTCTTTTATTTATATTAAGCTGATACCAAGGTATATGAAGCCTTGGCTGCCTGTGAACCTCTGTGGTCGTGGCGCATGTATTGTTATCGCCTCCTTGAGATGCGCGCCCAGCTCAACTGGAAACCAAGGGTACCTGGGCTGGGGCTCCCAGTCCAAAATCCAGAGGCCAGAACCCAAAATCCAGATTCAAGAATCCAGAACCCAGAAGCCAAAGTATTCTGCTCCTGCCACGGCCACTGCTGTGGCCTTTTCATATGGCTCTCAAAAAAACGCCATGTTCATATCTCAGAATTGGTCTGCCGGCTACCGTTGTCCATGGACGTCCCCATTGTGACCTCCAGCGGGGATGGCCGGCGGATACCAAGAGCCTTTTAATGCGCCTGGTAATGCTCATCGTAATTTTTCCACATTGACGCTGGTAGCTTTTTGCTTTTGCTGCTGCTGTTGGTTCTGCGGCCATCTCACTCCTTTAATCTGCATATCTTCATTTGAGTCTGCCGCTTTTAAATGCTCCACTAAAGGGGGCCAGGGAGGCGGCTAGGTGGGAGTCGCCGTTTGCCGTTTGGCGTTTTTAGCAAAATAATGAGAATCATGATTTCTACTCTGCAGTTCTACTCGCTTTGCGGTTCTGTGGCTCGACGCGATTTTCAGTTTATACGCCATTTTACTGGGGCTCTTTCTTTTTTTATTTTTCTTGGCTATAACCCCGCCGCTGGGTGTACAAATTGATATGCAAATTTTTGAGGAGCCGCGCCGAGAGCAAGAGGAAGCGGCTCCGGACGACGTCCTCCCGTGCATGGTACTTATCGTAGTTGCAGGGTAACCAAGGTTAATTAGTCGCCAAGTGTTGGCAGCCGCATCGGTGGAAGATGGAAACCAGTTGCACTGACATGTGGAGAGTGGATCCGAATGGAAAATGAATACTTTAATGAGCTCTATAGCTTATACTTTTAAGCTTTTTATAGGCATTAGGACAGTCAACTGAGTGCCATTTTTTAAAGTCCAAAGTCTGGTAGTCCTTACTCAAGTAAACATCCATGCAAGCACACCTACATCTCCACATAATCCCATTAAGAATGTACCCAAAATCATTTCATGCATCCCCAACATGCGGCATCATCTCCATTTTGATAAGTCCACTTTACATATTCCCTTGCTGCCTGTTCTGTTCTGTTCTGCAACATGGCCACAATAATCTTGGCTATAACCCCCTCCTTTCTGCTGCCTCCTTCCCCCATCCTGTTTCTGTGGCAAACAAGTTTCTGCACTCGCATAATCTGCATGAACCATAATTTTATTGAGAGCACGCCTGCCAATAAATAACTCTGCCCCCGGATAGCCCCGTCCCGCGTCACAAGTTGCAACGGCAGCCGTGGCCATTTATTAATATGGAAATCTACAGAGAAGCCGCAGTGGCAGAGCTTCTGTTCCCGAACTCCAGTCCCCTGCAGTCGCCCCGCTAAACACATTACACGATAGCAGCAAATGGGAGCCAACGTCATCTCCATATTCCCAATACCCATGCGAGGGTATGG